CTTTCTGTGTTCATTCCAGCTCGCTTTTTTCAGTGAGATTTCCTGGAGGCGTCCACGCTGCTTCTCCCCTTACCAGCATCTCAAATGCTCACGACGATGAGCTGGGCTGTCACCGCTTGGCCGCCGGTGGGGGGTTTGGGAGGCCTGCGCGCTATACTTCGTTCACTATATCTACAGTGAAGACCTTCACCAGCAGCAGACATGGACACACGCACAGACAGGGACTCATACACACACATCACACACAGAGACCCGCGCTGCCTCAACTTACTCGGACACACACTCACTCATACACACACAGACATAGATACACACACAGAGACCCACACACTACCTCAACTCACTCGACTTAACACTTCACACCTGAACACTTCACAGATAACTCACACTCTGACTTCCTACGTGATGAAAAATGCTTTCGGGCCACTCGTCTAGTCTTTGTTTTTTCCCCAAACAGTGTGGGCACACTGAGGGGTTCTTATGGTAAGGGAAAAGCAGGGGTGCTTAGATCGCTGTTCCGCGCGGCCGTGTCCGGCTGTTTTGCTCCTATTTACAGTGCATTCATGACTCTCGACATCGTCCATGTGCACTTCGACTGCGCAGGCTCGCAAAATCTGCCTGCCGGCGGCGGGTGCTTCTAGCGACTGGGCTCTCGTTGTGGTGCTGTGCACATTTTCGCACATGGTGGTCACTTTTCGTGGCAGGTGCCAGGTGCAGGGGAAACCTTGTGTTTGGGTGCTCAAAGGCGACTTGTCGTGACAGGTGCAAGGGACCGGAGCTGTTTTGCTTCGAAATGCAGTTTTCGTGGCAGGTGCAGCACTTTGGACATGTTGGCGATCGTCGAGGAGCTTCGATTTCGTGACAGGCGCAGGCAGTGAATCGTGACTTTTGGACATGTGGCTTGGGCGCAGATTTCGTGGCAGGCGCAGCACTTGCAGGTGGACCTGCAAGTGCAGATTTCGTGGCAGGTACAGCGCTTGGTGAACCTCGAAGTGCAGATTTCGTGGCAGGCACAGCACTTGGTGAACCTTGAAGTGCAGATTTCGTGGCAGGCGCAGCACTTGGTGAACCTTGATTTCGCGACAGGTACAGCACTTTGTGAACCTCGAAGTGCCGATTTCGTGGCAGGCGCAGCGCTTGGTGAAACTTGAAGCGCCAAGACCAGCCCTCCTACAAACGTTTTCCAACCAGCCTGATCGAGGAAAGCAAACCTGATTTCAGGACAAACAGAGGAGAGAGCCTCAGTAGGGAGGTAGTTGGGGCTAGCCGGAAGTCCATGGGCAAGGGAAAGTAACATGGCCGAAGCTGTCCCACCAGCCCACTGCGAGGCTCTCAGGCATGTGGGTCTGATCCACGAAGTGCGGCCGGTGGGAGGTTATGAGAAACATATAGTCTGAGCATGTCTGAGCTCACTATCACTACACTACACTTTACACACTGTACGAATTAGCTCTCTTCGACTGCCGTAGTTCACCTTCTTGAAGTTCACTTAAGTGATCACTACGATCACGTGGGGCCCCCATCATGTCCCCCCTCCCAGACTACCTGGGACTGAGGGTGGTGAGGGTGGGCCCGCGCCAGCAACCACTTCATTTCATAACTTACATTCCATTATTGTTTCGTGTGCAAAAGGCATGACTACTCCGTAGAAATCTGCATTTCTAGATGATGAACCTTGCCGTAAACACAACAAAACCAAGGAGCCCTTACACTGCCGACATTTGTATACATGTGTGCCTATTTGTGCACTAGTTCTTTCCACTGTCTTGTGTGGATGCTTTGCTTTACCAAGGTCACTCAATGCTAGCCACCTAATTACTCCCGTAGCTCTTGATCGGAAAAACTTTTCATCCGGACTACAAATACTTGGGCATGTCAGCTCTTCAAGCAACAGACCATGGTTCACACGACAAGCATCGACAAAAGTGCCGACGCGGTTGCCGCTAAATTTTGGAATGCGACCAAAACAAAACTGCAAGTACAGTGGCGAGTATTCATATGTCTCGGAGAACGCATGGACAAACGTGACAAAGATTATAGCAAAGCCGTACATAGTCTCCAAAAGAGCAAGCTCCTGTCAACGCATTTACGTGTGGACGTCATTCGCTAAGCGAATGTAAAACACAAACACAATACGATCGATCGTGTACGAACGGCACCACTTGCACGGTGACAAAACAACAAAATAAGTTTGGGTTTGAGGTTCATGGCCGGGGTGGTCTGTCCTGCATCTTGGCGTCGTTCGCATCCCTGGCCTTTCCCAACGAATCCACAGCCTCACCAATCACAAGTGCTGGAGACCATCTTTTTACACCTGTGCGTTTAGCTGATTCATTTTGCAAGTTGTTTGTGGCCAAGGAACTGTTTTGATGGGTTTTTGCGAAGAAGCCTCGATGGGCAGCGCAAGGCCGGAGGTGGCATCCCAGCTGGTCACCTGCCACATTGTGAAGACACATGAAGATACAACAGTAGACTATGAAACAAGTGATGATCTGCAGCACTGCTAACATCATCAAACATTTGACTCAGTATGGGTCAAAACTTCAGGACTTTGGTTCTCTCCAGGAGTAAGCAGAATAGACTGCCGGCCACTAGTGGCCAGTGGCCTACCATGGTTTTGAAGACCTCTCAACTTAGCAAGGTGAGAAAAGGAGGCTATTGCAATGTATCCTTTGAACATCTTGTTAAATCAATGAACAAATAAATGCTTAATTGCTGCCCAAATAATGAAACAGCAGCCTTAAGGAAATGCAATGGGCTAAGTCGTTTCCTGGTAAATCTGGATGGGTGTGTTTTGCTCTAGACTCCTAATTTGTTCCTATATTCCCCTACAATTCTTGTGGAAATCGCGGTAGTTTTTATATATTTTTAAAATCTTTTCATATTGCAAAGATTCCGGTAATAAATCCCCACTCGCTTCTTCTTCATGGAAACCTTCGTACCTTCCTCGGAGATCTTGATGCTGCCGGCCAAAAGAAGAGAGCAGCTGTTCTTGAGAGAAGGCGCACCGAAAGAAACGGTTTGATCGCTGTAGATACCACGCAATTTCAACACCTGCCTGACACGTAGGTAAAATGCAACTGCTTAGCCTCAAAGAAGGAAGCGACTGGGGACAAATTACGCCGCCGTAGACCCCGAACAGGTGAGACAACAAAGAAGCATTCCCAAGTCAATTTTTTTTGAGACATGGGAGACAAGAAGGAAGACAAAGCGGACACAATGACTAACAAAGAATGGAGACAAAAGGAAACAGAAGAGAAACAACACGGACACAATAACCGATAACCAACAAGAAGGGAGACAGAAGAAAACAGAAGGGAGACAAGACGGACACGTGACACAGTGACCAACAAGAAGGGAGACAAAGGGAGAAAGGCGGACGGAAGGCGGAAACGCAGACGGACACAGTGACCAACAAGAACAGACAAGACTGGAGACAAAGGCGGGCAAGAAGGAAGACAAGGCGGACGCAATGACCAACAAGAAGGGAGACAAGAAAGGAAACAAAAGGAACGGACACAGTGACCAACAAGAAGGGAGACAAGAAGGGACACAAAAGGGAACGGAAGGGAGACAAGGACGCAGTGCAGTGACCAGCAAGAAGGAGCCAAGACCGGAGACAAAGGGAGACAGAAGGGAGACAAGGCAAAGACAATGACTAACAAGAAGGGAGACAAGAAGGGAGAAAAAAAGGAAACAGAAGGGAGACAAGGCGGACACAGTGACCAACAAGAAGGACTGGAGACAAAGGGAGAGAGCAGGGAAACAAGGCGGACGCAATGACCCAGGGAGACAATCCAGATAGGCGGAGCAGCAAGGCAGACACTCTTAGAAAACATTGAGAACTTCTAACTGTAACCTGTTGAGGGAAAAATCCACTGGAAAACAAATGAATAGACATGCTGCGTGGCCAGCGGAAAAGGGCGGACACCACAAATGCAGGCACCGAACCTGGCAAAAATAAGTACTGAAATCAGGGAACGAAAATAAAGAAATCAACTGGGAGACAAATGAGTAGAAATGCTGCCTGGCCAGCGGAAACACCTGGGAGACAAATGAATAGAAATGCTGCGTGGCCAGCGGAAAAGGGCGGACACCAGCAGTGACAGAAAGGGCGGACACATCTTAAGAAAGACTTGAGAACCCCTAGTAAACTGTGTGCGGAAAACATTGCGACGAATGAATGTCCGAGTTATAAAACTTAACCCAAGGAAAACTCTACATTCCATACAGAGGGGCACCAAACTGGTACAATAATGCGGCGTCGAAAGTGAAAAAGCGATTGAACACCTACAACGGATGAGGAACTTAGAGGATGGATCATAGAAAATTACACCCTAAAGACAAAAGACTGTAGACTGTAGACAACAAATTTGAATGTGTGTTTATGTGTTTGAACAGGGCTTGTTTTGCAACTGGAGCCGCGCTTATATATATACATATATACAGTATACATAATGATCAGCCTCACTCGCCCACTCCCTCACTGTGCCACTTGCTCACTCAGTCAGTCAACCACTCAGTGAGTCACTACATATACAGCACCATACAGCACCCGCAATTTCGGTGCTCGTCTAGCACTTTTTGCTCGCTCGGAGACTGCGGGCAAACCCAAAGTCGAATTCGCGTATGTTACATTCCTGAAATCAATGAAGACAATTGAACTTCGAAAAAAAAACGCTGCCTTGATGAAATACCATCAACAAATGAATCTGACAATTTGGAGGAAGGGACCAAAAACAATAAGACACACCCAACTGGCTGCCACAAAAGCCTCTTGCGCAATACCATCGCCATTCCATTCCAATCACCGCCCTAAGGCCCTGATGAACTGTCCATTAGTGACACTCAAATGGCTGCAGTCTTCTGCAATACTTGCCCAAACAGTACATTCACGACATGCCCCCTCCCTACATTCGGGGCCCACAAAAACCCATTAGAATCCTGTAAGCGTCTTTGACCAAAGATTGACTTCGCAGTTTGGCCCTGCGGCCCATCCGTCAGCGCATTGCCTGCGACTTGTTGACGTCCAAAGCTTCCAGCTTCATTCTCTTGGCGAGTCCGATGCGCGCAGGTTTGCCAGTGGACCCTTTGGGGATATCCTGCCCACACAAGGACGCGGCGCATGACACGTCAGCATCACGCAGCGACATGCATCGCTGCATCGACTTAAGAACGTCACACCTGCGCTGCGCCCAGTTTACCTTTCCGCTTGACCAGATCAAGTCCTTCATGAACAAAATACATTGTGGAAGCCACTTCTCGCTCATCTTGGCAGCGGAGAATTGGCGTAGTTCTTCCAATTTCTTGCTGTCCATCTTCTCCTTAGCAAGCAAAAGGACAGCGCGTGATTCATGACAGCACCCCCGACTGTCTCTTCATGCGCACATGGACATGCACGCACGCGCGCATCTTGCTTAATCATGGACCACAGGAAATGGGAAGATAACATACAATACTTAGACTTGTCCGTACCATATGAATTTACATTCGTGCCCAGCCCGCACTCTTTTAAATCTCTCCAGCCAAGTCTGAACGTGCTGCGTCGGCGCCGAGACAGGTCGGCTTCGTAGGCCAAGGGCCAGTGTGGTCGAAAGGCCATAGGAAGGCTGCAGCACTGGCCAGAAACGAAGCTCATCCAGGGAGGGCCACGAAAGGGGAGGGCCGTCAGGAAAGCTGCAGCAGGGAAAGAATGAGAGACATTCTTGCCCAGCCCACGCTCTTTTATTTCTCTCCAGCCAAGCCTGAACGTGCTGCGTCGGCGCCGAGACGGGTCGGCTTCGTAGGCCAAGGGCCAGTGTGGTCGAAAGGCTGCAGCACTGGCCAGAAACGAAGCTCATCCAGCTCCATCACAACTTCAGCTGACGTGACAGCGTTGTGCGTCTGCCACGGGCGCCATAGCGCTGCTAAATGGAGTGGCGCAACAAAAAGGATTGAACCTGAGCAAAAGTGTGAGTTGCATCCCAAGTGCCTGAGACTCCGGTGATTTCGGCTACCCCAGGCGGTCGTGTGTCCGCCACCTCCTACACTGAAGAATACCGCCGAGAGATTGCCACCAGCATCGTTGATTACTTCATCCGCTGCTTGCGAGGTGTGAACCGCGGCTCCTCCTGCCGCCACGAGACCAGGTCCGCGACATTGATCCAGTCAAGGTGTTCCATTCGTTTGCTGGCATTCGTCCCTGCCCTTGGTGCGGGACGGCGATTTCTTGGGGGATTCAGTGTTTTGCGGCTTTCCTACGGTTTGGGAAGCCCGTGTTGCGCGCCGGCTTGACTTGGCGGGCTGATGGAGGCAGCCGCGATAGTTCACGGTCACTGGGACCACAGCAGCGGGGCTAGCCTCAGACTTTGAACCTGAGGAGAGTTCCAGCGCAGCCACTCGATCTCGAAGTTCACCGACCTCAGCACGCAGAGCGATGATCTCTTGAGCCAAGGTCCAGGCTCATGCAAGGTGTGCTCTGGCAACCTGAAAGTTCCGGAGCCAGAAGGATTGTTGCCTGATCGACACGGACCAGGCTGCTCGAAAGAGTACCAGCCACAGCTGGCCGAGCAGACACACCAGCTAGGATCGAAGGCCAGTGCGCAATCACCTCCTCGCGCCGCCAGCACGGGAGGATGGGAGAGCTCGACTCCCGAAAAAGAGCCGCTACCGTAGCTCTGCGCGGCTTGGGAAGGCACTAAGCTCATAGCCGTCAGGAAAGCAATGAGAGACATGGTTCCTTTCCGCAACAGTGCAGCTGCTCACACATGTATCCTTTTCAGAATGGTTCGGTCACGCATTGCGCATGTGTACCTCTTCCGTCACGTTTCGAAGGAGCACGTGTATCTCTGCCGTCATGTTTCCGCTACACACGCGCATTTCTTCCGTAGTCTTTGATTCTTTGCACTTTTTCTGGCTCAGCAGCAGGCATGCCCCACTCTTTCTTTTTTTTGGGGCGTGTCCCGCATTGCTTCTGATTCTCACCTCGTGCAGTGGCCGTCGGATCTGCCATCAATCCTTGGGGGCTCCTCATTGGCGGCTTATTGATGTCAAACCGTTGCAGCTCCCACAAGTCATGGTCCCAAATTCTAGAGGAGGACTTTAGACGGAAGCTGATGCTTGCAGTGCTCAATGCCGGCCCTGCCCTGCCCCAGCAGTCCAATGCGCACAAGCGTCGCCATCCCGAAGCACTGCTGCTAAGCCCACTGTTTCTCCCAGTTGTGCGTGAGGACAGCTGAAGGCGATGCAATCGAAGATGGGCGGCCACTGACGGCACACGTTCTCGACCTCATTACTCCAAGACAACAACAAGAAAAATCACTTGTGCCAGGCCAGAGCCTGCTTAAAAAGAACAATCATACTCATACAGAACTTGCACCTGGAAAGTGTCTTTTCCCCCGGCCGCTCCGCATCAGAGCGGCATTCCACTTCAGCATGATAAACAAAAACATTTACCAAAATGTCAAGCACCACACATCTACCATGATAGAATTGAAGTAGTAATTGAAGTGCAACAGCACGTGCCCCAAACAGGGCCGCAGTGCCATGCCAAGGAGTTGGGCTCTGGAAACAAACTCAAAATATTCCCGCAGCCCCCTTCTTTCAGACCGAGCAGCCTCAAAAGGCGAAATTTTTTCGCCTCCGCGATTTATGATCTCTTTGTAGCGGCCCGACAGGCAAAGGTAGTTGTGATCATCAATGTAGCCTGACTTGGTGCGCCATCCATTTTCCGCTCGTCTCAAAACACATCCAAAAACACAAGACAACTTGGAAGAAACTGGCCTTTGTCTCCAGTTCGCAGCCAACCATCTGATGTGAAAGCTTCAATATTTGGGTCCTGGTCCATATGGGCACGCATCTCCTGAGCCGCCACGTCATCCTGATATCATCCTATCACCTACTGCAACTGCCGAAAGCCTGGGCCCTACTTGTTTTTGCAACATTGTGGCTTGGCCAGCCTGAATCTCCACACGCTGGTTCTGCACTTTGTTTAACTTTCTTGTGCTTCAGCCGAGTTTCATATCCTTTGGTCACACAAG